CGGCCCAATCATCACTTCCATATGTGTATATCCTTATAACGTCAATAACAGAATAATACCGTATTCATGTGTATGTTAGAACTTGATCATCATATATCTGCATTGTCCTCGTAAATGCTGCAAAACCGCAGGTAGTAGTTTGTAGTCTATGCTGGTAAATATTCATCGACGCTGAAGAACATTCAAGCACACTCCTTGAACTTTAGGTGCTTTCCAATAATCCCGTATTCATGTGTATGTTTAAACTTGATTATCCTATATCTGTATTCTCCTAAACCGCAGGTCGTAAGTCGTCGTTCTATTCTGTTAAATATCCGTTGATGCCGAAGGAAAATTTACGCCTGGCCTGCTGGAACTTCAAATGCTTTCGCACTCACATCCTTTTACATGTAGCGTTCCGTTGACGTGATCCTCAGTAGCACGGTTCGTCCCTTCCTCGACCCTCGTTCACCACTAAACTTCTCAAGACGCAGACTTCAATCATAGCTACGTTCTTCAACCTGGTGTTCCTCGTTATCTGACAGGAGCGATAGTAACCAGTAAGTGTGCCAAATTCTCAACGCTGAGTTAACTTCAATCATAGCTACGTTCTTCGAGCTATTGTTCCTCGTTAATTAAACAATGGTGATAGTACAGTAAACGCGCCGAATTATCGACGTTAAGCTGCGAGGCGTGCTGCCACATAGCCCAGTACTTGTCCTCCCCTCCAACGGCGCTGTGTTTACAAATCTGCGCGTAGATGATTCTGAATATTCGACACGACCGCCTCCTAACATTTCTCAGAGCATATACCCAGAAATGGATTTCAGGCTCGACTCGAAGGAAGAGGGACACAAAGCCTCTCCGCGGCGATTTCGTGGGGTCGGGTTGGACGGACCATTGTGCAGCGATATTTGGTGTATTCGAGGGTTTGTGTGAACGGACTTGAGAATTAACATTCTGCGCGCCACGGACGTACTGATATGTGTAAGGGCCAAGACCGGAGATGGGGGTGGCAAGGTATGGGTCACAATATCAAAAAACGCTTTGTTTCGTTGGCGTGGATGATGAGAGGGAGATTCGAACTCCCGCCCCCGAAGAGACCAGATACGCCATGAAACCCAACGGAACCTTAGTCTGGCGCCTTAGACCGCTCGGCCATCTCACCATGAATCCTATACAATGGCTCATGAATCTCGCCAGGCTTTCCAAGGGATGAGTGTGAGTACAAGTACGAGTACGCGAGATGAGCAGGGCTGAGACGGAGAGACAGGAGTGGTGGGTGGTACGAGTGAGAAACTCCACGGTGGGGACATGGTTGTCGGCCTCTCGATCGTGTGCGTGACCGAGGTTGCAGACTCTGATCGTCGAGGGGCGTATGGATTGCGATCTCATGGATTGTGTGGTCGACTTTCATGCTTCGAGTGTGGTCAACGGGGGCTGCCTGGAACGTGGAAGGGCAGCGAATGCGTCGAAGGAGAGTGCCGGTTCTTGTCACGGAGAGGCTTGGTGATATGTGCAAGTGCCAAGACCGGAGACGGGCCCGATGGGTCACCATGATAAATAGATAGATAAATATCAATAAAAAAAGTCATCTGTACGATTTTCGCGGATGATGAGAGGGAGATTCGAACTCCCGCCTCCGGAGAGACCAGATAATCTTTGAATGGGACAGTACCTTAGTCTGGCGCCTTGGACCGCTCGGCCATCTCACCATATCGTTAAGCGCTGTTAATGCCATTATGTGGCTCATGAGGTGTTCCAAGGGACGAGGACGAGGACGCGAGATGAGCGTGAACGGCGCTGTGGGGCGTCTGTCGATCGTGTGCGTGACCGAGGTTGGAGACTCTGATCGTCGAGGAGGGCGTTTGAATTGCGATCTCGTGGATTTGCGGGTCGACGTTGCGTGGAGGAGAGGTCGACTTTCAAGCTACGAGTGTGGTGAACCGTGGCCGTCGAAGGAGAGTGTCCGATTCGTGTCACACAGAGACTTCGCTGAAACTGGCAAAGCCAGACGAAGAGGAATTCGTCAGAGTGACAAAGATCAAGTCGGATCAGTGGCAATGACCATGGGTGATCGCGGCGGAAATTCGTCTGGGACAAAGACCACGTCGTTCCTTCTGATCAGTGGCAGTGACCATGGGTGCCTTGATAACCGCGAGGGTAATTCGTTGGAGTGACATCAAGTAGCAGTGGCAGTGGTATGGGTGCCTTGGCCCTTGACAACAGTGGTGCAAGCCCCAATAGGTGCTATGTATTGCGT